GATGGCTTGTCTACTGATGTCACTTGATGGTTTCCTCAGAGTATAGCCAGCCAATCCATCTCCATTTCTTCCCCCCTATTTGTTTCACAATCGGTTCCTGCTGTGTTGGTTCGCTCACTCCCGTAGATCCCTGTCGCTGATCTTTTCCGGCCGGCTATCTGATCCTGAGCAGTACTGAGCGAAGACAACTGTTAATGAAGGTCTGAAGTCTGTTTGAGATGCTCTTTATGACGCGCTGGCCAAGTCTCTGATCTGTATAGTGAGTAGCACTGACTTCACATTGGAGTTGAAAATCCGGATCTTATTTTTGATGATGAGTGCTGTTGACCTCCACAAAGACTTGAGAGTAATGAAATCTTGTCTTGCTTTTCCGATTCTGGCTTTGATATCCTCGTCAGTTCCGCCTGTAGATGAAACGATGCTTGATGCTTCTTCTGCCAACTTGTTGCTTTTCACTTGCATATCTTCCAGTTTGTGGGAAATCAGACATATGTCATCATTGGCGAAATCCAGATCCTCCAAGTCTTTTGTGTTGGTCCATTTTATGCCTGTTCCCTCGTTGGTTGCCGTTGTCTGTCGCATTATCCAATCTACTGCAATCAGGAAAATCACTGGAGATAGTAAACAGCCCTGCCTCACTCCCGTCCTCACTTCGAAGGCTTCCGTAAGTTTCCCGTTGTGGATTACCTGGCATGCAGCATTGCCGTATAACTGTTGGATGAGATGTATAATTGTCGATGGGACCCCATCGACCTGGTCCTGCTTCTTTCCCAGCATTTAGCCTCTTGATTGCATTCAGGACTTCTGATTTTGTCGGGGGGTCGATGTTCACTGGTATCTCTGCTTCCGTTGTTGGTATTGTTGGGCGTGTTGTAGGTGGCGGACGATTTAGAAGTCTTTTGAAGTGCTCAGCTCAGTGTTTTCTTTGCTCCACCTCTTTGGTGATCGACTTTACATTGTCATCCTTTACTGGCTTAATCTGTGTCGACCTTTTGACCGATAGGCTTCGAGTTGTTTGGTAGAGTGTGGCGAGGTCTCCTTTGCCTGCAGCTTGTTCTGCTTCACTTTCCATGGCTCCATAATATTTTCTTTTGTCTTCCCTGGCACTCTTCTTCACTCTATTGTTCAGCGTATTGTAGCTTGCATTCAACTCCTGTTTTTGTTGCTAGTAGGTGCACTGGACAATCTTTGGACTCTACACCGTTTTCAAGTTGTCCCAGTGCTTTTCGACGCCGACCTCTTCGCTAATGTTGATGCGTGTCTCGGCTTTGTCCTTTATGCTTGCAATGAAGATGTCCCTTGTAGCCTGATCCTTCAGTTTATGAGTGTTGAACTTGGCTCGTGGCCTATCTGCAGCCCCTGATTCCCTGAAAGCTTTTAATTTGATTTGGATTGTCCCTTGTACGAGACAGTGGTCTGAGCCAACGTCTGCTCCTCTTCTTGCTTTTGTGTCCCGTAGGCTGCGCCTCCACTTCGTTGAGATTGAGATGAAGTCAATTTGGGTTTTGGTTTGCCCATCTGGTGACATCCATGTAGCCTTGTGGATATCTTTGTGTTTGTATACACTGCCACCAATCACTTGTTCGTTGAAGACCAGAAGTCAGTGAAGAGTTCTCCATTTTCATTCATTTCTCCGAGAGCTTCTCTACCCATGATGAGTTCCCCTCCTGTGGTGTCTGGTCACAGTTTGGAGTTCATGTCTCCCATTAGTATTTTAATGTCACCGGCTGAAGTATTGGCTATTGCTGGCTGTAGTTGTATGTAGAATTCTCCTTTTTTCGAGGTCTGCGTTGTTTGTGGGGGCATAACATTGTATAATTGACACATTCCTTCCTTTGGGGTTGAATCTGTCGGTCATTATCCTGGACGAGATCGCCTTCCATTGCATCAGGGCCTTTGTTTACGTTGGTGACATCATGATAGCCACGCCCTCGGTGTGCGTGTGGTTATCTTCTGGGTGACCGGAGTAGATCACTGACTCACCCGTCGACAATTCGGTGAGTCCATTTCCGTTTCATCTACTTTCACATATTCCCAGCACTTGGATTCCGTATCTTTTCATCTCGTTTGCGATCTCGGCAGCTTCGCTAATCTCGTATATGGTGGGGACGTTCCATCTCCCCACTTAGACTTTTTCTTTCAGTGCAAGGAGATTCATCGTGCTGAAGTTTCTGTAGCAACTCTGTTTACAGGGTGGCGTTGCAAGCCTCACGTCTGAGAAAGGAAATGTTACAATAAGATAAAGTTTAGAGAGAAGCGATCTTGTGGGTTTCTCCCCTTAAAACCGGAAAACAAGGAATACAAGGAATAAAACGATCAGAACAACACCAGCAAAAAGAAAATAAGTCACAGCAAAACGGGCAACGAGCGACAACAACAATACAATGCAACGGCATACAATACGGTTAAGCACAGTTAACTAAGACGATACCAAAACCATAGACTCACTGACTTGGGCCAACTTGAACATATGAATCCAACAATATATACAGTTACAGATATGAGTTTATGTTAAAAATTCACAAAATCCAAACAGTTATTTATAAGCATTATCTATCAATAAGATTATATCCACAGATTCAGTGTTCAAAAGATGAATAATAGTAATAATTTCCTTAAACACTTGGCATGAAATTCTACAGAAACAAGAGTTTTTATGAAAGAGGTGAATGTGGCGTAGTAATCAAAAAGCGCGCTAGCAGATCAAAAATCAGTGTTACATTTGCTTCACTTCTTCGGTATTCGACCTTGTTCGTGGTAGACCAACGGCACTTACCTTCAAAATAGTATGGCTAGACTGTAGTCGACCGGCCCGTCTCTCCCTGCTCGACCTATCTGTGCGAAGCAATAATCCAATGGGAAAAAGCTATTGTTTTATTCGACAAAAGTGGTCTAATTTGGTGGTGAACTACGGTTGTGATCCACCCTGTAAAGCTGCTTACACTGCACAACTGTGCCTAAGCAGCTCAAGGCAACTCACCGCTGAATCTTGCTGAAGACGCTATTTCTTTATGCAGTTCCAAGTAAGAAAGAATCTCCAGTGCACGAATAAGATTCAGCAGGCGGCGTGCAGTCTGGTAGGTGGGTAGCCAGTCACTGGAACTAATGCCTTTCACCTCCATGGTCATACGCAGTGTTCAGTTGAAGGCACACTTGCATGGTCCTCAGCAATGACGATTTCTACCTTCTCAGATGGCTCTTGATGCTTACGATGATATTTCTACACGTAGACTGTTTCATTCTAATCACCTCAAATCGATCAGCACACTACGGCCCCTAGTTATCAATTCCAGCTCCCAATAACTAGTGGTAACAGGGTTGCAAGAGTGGTGCGAGACAAATAACCAAAAGTACTGCCCTTTCGATGAAAACCACAAATACTTCAAGAAAGTGGCAGGACTAACTATGCAAAAGTTTTAAGTAGATCTGGGATATACAGCTTTTGCCCAGAAGCGACCAAAATTCATTTTTACTAGCCATTAGAGACGATAGTGGGAATTGATACTGGCCACTTCTAGATAATTTCTAAGTTCATTCTATTTGAATTGCTACTTTTTAACTTAACCGGAATATGGAAGCTTATATAAGTACAGTACAAATGAATGTTGCGTTGATAGCATAGAGATAGAATGCTCGCCAACCACTCATGTGGTTTTCGGTTCGACTCCCTGCCGACGTACTCCTTTCCTCGCCTTGTCAGTAATTACACTGGTAAAGAGTGTAGGTTGGGCATGTGACTAGCAATCTCACCCCGTATAAATAAACACTACTGCTCCCGAAACTGAAGCCTTTAGCTCGAAGTCCAAGTTCCATTGGGAACGCTAAGGAATAAAAAAACAAGTGAATGTAAGTCTCACTACTCATTGTGCAGCTCACTGAAATAATAACTGAATTCATGGCTAGTACAGCTTGTAAACTGTCAACAGAATTGACCCAAACGATGAAAAGTAGTTGATGGAAGTAGTGACCTTGGCCAACCAATCAGATTGGCCCATACCACGTGCGCGTAATTTCAGTACTTTCTATAGTTATGCTTGAATGCTTCATGAAATCTCCCTGTTTGTACAGCCTAGAGTAGATTAAATTCATTTCATCCATCGTAGCGTGGCATTCATTAGTTTTAATTCCCCTAATGGCATTCGAACATCCCCAATACTGTGACATTTGCCTTAGCCGACTAATAAGCTAGCTAGCTGATATCGTCGATTAGGATGCTTGCTGTTATGTAATCACTTTGACGCTAAAACTTCGCTTGGTGTTCAATTATTATTCTGTCCTATATGACAACTGAAAGTATAGGGATTCGAGCGAACGGTCAACAAAATGCATAATATTGAAAAACCTGTTCGATAAGCTTCATCATGCAATTATCGTCTTGACTTTTTATTTTCGCACTATTTGACAATAGGCTACTATAAATCATCAACTATCGATCATCTTGTGAATGCCCGGACTTCACAGAAATTAGTCCTTCATATTAATTAAGGGGTTGTTACCCATTTTGTATTAACACGGCTGCAGTACTTTCGAGTAACGTTACTCGACCATATTAAAAAATTGTAAATCATTCTCTTTTTTGTTGAATAATTAGGCGGCACGCCCACTGATTCCCCAGAACAATTTAGTTTTCATTCGATTCGAGTAATAAGTTATTCACGAAATGATATGAATTACGTACAGTCATCTCGATGAACTTAAGTACAGAAATTGGTTTGGACTAACTGCGAAAACTGGGAGATATTACTAGGACATATATTCGATCAGCATCGTTCGTTGTCATTTTGCATTACGTAATTTGTGTTTTATAAAGTTTTCTATTAACACAACGCACTTAGTTGGTCGCTCTGGTTGATTTCTGCTCTGTAGCTTATCCCAATACAGACGGAGAAATACTTGTATATTGTAATATTCCTGTCTTCAGGACAAAGTAATAAGGTGAATCTTACGTTTAGACGGCCGGTCATATTTCTGGAGAGGCATTTTTTAAAGAACGGAATTCAATGTGCATGAGGAATTCGAGAGTAGAACCTATATTTTTGTTGTCATGTGGTTCCTTCAATCCAGTCACTGTGATGCACATGAGAATGATGGGCAAGTTAATTTCTTTACTACAGTCTGTATTTCTTTCGCATAAATAGAATATTCCCTTTGTTTGTCTTGTGCTTAATATATCATTTTGAGACTGTATTGTCAGTACTTTGCATAGATATATGTTTAACCTAAATGTAAATCACTGTAATGACCAGTACCGAATGAATATGTCGAGCTAATCCAGTCTTTGTTAGCGAAGTATCAAAATAAATAAATAGTACGAGTCAAAAGTTAACTTCGCGACAAATGACTCGTAGTACGTGTTACCGGAGAAATTCACTGAATTATATGGCAGTATAGAGATTATATCTCACACTAAATGCCCATACTTCACCTTTCGCTTAGTAGTATATTTGCTTGTTTGGTTAGGTTACTGACAATTCATTGCTCGAAGTAATTCGGCAGTTTAATGTAACAGATATATATATATATGTATATATATATATATATATATATATATATATATATATATATATATATATAAGTTTGTGCCAATCATTTCTAACGTCACTGGCTGTTCACTTAAAATATAAAAACCATATGAAATCTGAATGACTAAACAATGAATCATATTGGTATTGCCGAGTTTACAATTCACAATCGTTTGTTCATTTTTTGCAAACAACTTCATGAGAAACTGTTCAGTAAAATTTTTTAAAATATTTTATTCCTTTACGTTCCGAGTGGAACAAAGGGCTTCAAGCTAGAAGCTTGAAGTTTCGGTAGCAGTAGTGTTTTTTTCTCTAGATGAGATCGCTAGTCTCATGCTCAGCCTACTCTCTTTACCAGTGCAATTACTGACTTGGCGAGGTAAAGGAGTGAGTCGGCCGGGGCTCAAACCCCAGACCGCATGTGTGGTTGGCGAGCATTCTATCGCTGTGCTACTGATGCCCTCAGTGAATGGTATGGTCTCGTTTTCCTCTGTATCATATAAGTAGACTTTCCCATGTGCTTTTGTTACACACAGTACGTAGTTTCGCTTTTTAACTTAAGATTAAAAGTATTTAGAGTCAGGCACTTCCTTTCGTTTGTAAGTAAACTTACACAAATACGTTTAATATAACTGTGATTTTCATCACTCATAGTTTGCAGTTGAAACGTTAATAGATTGATAGACTCTCCTTTGACTGTTTTGACTTTATACGTTTTCTGTAGCAAATGGAATATTCTCCTTTTGATTGCACGCGGCCCCCCTCATTTGGTATTACATTGTCTTAAAAACATCTGCAATAAAAGGTGGATTGAGACTCCTTCTCGTGACCTATTGGTTAAGAGAAAAAGTGCAATAGGTAGTCAACTACATCTCCACATGCATTACAATGTTATTATTATGGCTTCCAGAATGTTATATATCTCAAACCAAGTGAAACTAACACTTTTTTTTATCTCCAGTGTTGTTCATCGAAAGAACCATAAAATTGAGCAAAACAAGTTGTAAACTATATTGATTTTGAATAATAAAATATTCGTCTGCAATAAAAATATTTTTATAAGAGAATGTGAGCAAAAATCTTATTTTGATCACTTGGAAATTAATTCCATAGTTATTCAGAGTAGCTGGTTTTTTGTGGTTTCTAACTACTCCGATTTGTGATCTGGCGCACAGCATATATAAGAATATACGACTAATAACTTGATGGATACATAGTGAATTAGGGCACAGTTTTTTGAGTCTGCATCTATTCAAATAACTCAATCGTGTTTTGAGTTTTAAATTCCAAAACATTTTTAACAGTCATATTACATTTGGTTGTTGATGTCTACCCAATAAATAACTTAATAGGGTCCCTTTTGAAAGTGCTGTCGTTCGGTCCCTTTCTTACTATTGTTATTACTTTCTCACATAATTTCTTCAATACATCTTCCTTTTTTCATATTATTTTATTTTGTATACCTTAGTGTCTGAGATGTAATGGTTTCAAAACTGTTATCAGCCATGTATGAGACATTCAAGACTAGTCTATGGTTTTCCTCCGTAATGTATATTAATTCCTATGCGAAAACCTGCACCTAAAAATTATTGCTTATTTTAACTTTGTGTAATTGATATTTATTAGAGTTAGCTAGAGATAAGATTGAAGAATCATATTTACCAACACAGCCGCTATCTAAAGATTCGTATGAGGCAGAATGTACAAACAAAACAGTAACAAATCCTGGTCATAGAAAAGTTGTTGTCGGTGGTATATTTAGTCCTGTGTCAGATTTATATGGCAAGAAAGGTCTTCTCCCTGCTTCTGTACGCATTGAACTTACACGTCTGGCTTGTAATTCCACATCAGATTGGCTGACTGTCAGTAACTGGGAATGCTGTCAGCCAAATTGGTCAAGAACTCGCGTGGTTTTAGATCATATTCAGACTGCACTGGAAAGTGTGTATTCGGATTTGTGTAACAGTAAAGCCGCTGAGTGTATTTCAATCTTGAAAAATAAACCTTATGTAGAAAGTGATTCATACCGTAAGTTTTTCTGTTTACTTACATTTTCCTTGCTTTATAAGGTTAACTATTAAAATACTACATCCACGTAGTTGTTTCACGAAATTTAGTTAACCGTTCTGCAGATATTTTCCTCCAATAACAGGATAAATTCTTCAGAACGTCAGCTGAGACCATGATTAAAGTCCATGTTCATAAATAAAATGATCTTTTGAACTGGACGGGTCCTTTTGTTTTCGTTTCAAATGATATCTGCTAAGCGTCTCTATAGTTTATTAACAAATATTTTGTTTGGCTTAATAAAAACAATTTAAGTAGTCTTCTCTTCCCGAATAACAGGCTCCAATCGGGAAACTTTCCTAACTAGAACGATGTCAGTAGTGTTTAATTCTGATTTCACGTAAAATTTCAATTAGAGGTTGGTTGATAAATGATACATAAAGAGCATGGTTTAATGATGGATATGTTTTTTTTTAATTTTAATTTAATTTATGATTACAGCTTGATTCCACACTGTATTTTTTGGTTCAGGTATGGAATTTTCAGCATGTGATATCGGTAGCCCAAATTTTGCAGGCCAACCATAGATACCAGGTGTGCGTCGGCAAAGGATCGAACTACAAACCATGATTGGCGAGAGTCCTACCCGTTGTGCCACCGACGCTCTTGTAAGGTTTTGAGTTGTCAGATATTCGTTAAATTGTCTGTAAAGTTACCTAACAGCACCAAATAATATAATTATGCCAAAATGTAATATGTGTTGTATCAGGCTTTTCCTTTCTATATCGTCAAGCTGTTTCCTGATAACGTTTTAAGAGGAAGGGTTGATTGTTCAGACATTTAGTCAATTGTTAAGTTCAATAATTGACTTGTCAAATATTTTGTTTTAAATAACTTTGATATCTCTGAGTGACAATAAAGAAACATTTTCCATGTAAGGTAATTCCATTTCTTTATTTTCCGCTATCCAGATCATTTGGTTGTCACGGTTGATGAACAAGTGAAAAAATCATCACTGGAAGGTATGTCAACCAACAGTTGGCTTATGAATTGCTTAATGAGCATTGAACCCCCTGAGAACAATCATAAAGCAGAATGCACTGGGAACCAGTCGTATACTAATGATTATGAAAACAACAATTCCTCCACCTTTTCCTCTTATGAGAAATGTGATTACAGGCACAAAAGTGAATCAACTAAATTTTGGCTGTCAAAGCCGCACGTGAAATTCGTATGTGGTAGTGATCTTCTTCAGTCGTTTTCAACTCCCAATTTATGGGCTCTCGATGACGTAAGGTTCTTTAAATAAACTTGACGTATGTACTCTGTTGATTAATCTACATGTCATCATCGGTGAATATTCAGCTATTTTTATTTGCATTCCCCTGACTATGTAAATCAAACAAGTAACTGTTAAACGTATTCGTGAATATAAAAGCCTGATTAGTCAAAGTATGTAGCAACTGTGGACTCCAGTCGTCACAGAACATCTCTTGCAGCTTTTCTAAGTATCATCCTTTGATAAAACTATCGTTGACTCATATTTCACATTTAATTAGCACATGACAGTACAGTTTCATTTTTATCTCACACAAGTAAATGTCATAACAATCGTTCTAATGCCGATTAAATTCCTATTTAAAATGATTTGTATTCGAAATTAAACATCACTATCACTCTTGTAGATTGTTGATATCTGTGGCTTTCGTGAAGTTGTTTGAACGCCCTTGGAATACTTATAGTGGGTCACAACTATAGCAGCACCAGCTTGTTCTAATGAGTAAGAAGTTTTGCAAAGCACAGTGTAAAAATTACTTAATCTCATGTATGTGTAGTTGTGTAAATTAGATTGAAGCCTAAAGATCTAATTGAAAACAATATTGCTCTCTTGTTTTAGTTTTAACAATAGTAATTTTCTGTATTCCACAAGAGCGTTATTGCACGTCGACAGTATTTACGATTGCTACTTAATTCGTCTACACTAAGTGCTTCCTCACTCTGAATTATACGTTTTAGTCGTGGTTATTTGTAGCTCTTCTCATTTGAGTTGTATTATAGGAAGTATAAAATAGTGAATTAACAATTTAGCATAATAACAGTACAATGCATAGCCTTTCTGAAACACTAAAATATTAATACCCGTCCATATATTATCATTAATTGTTTTACCAGTAAGTCAACCATATGGATGGATACTCAGTTATTCAATAATCTGATTTGCATATCATACCTAGTCGTATAGCGTTAATCTTCAGTTAACAAATTCTGTTTTACTTATATTCCTGATACAATCATTCGACTTTTTTTATTGGGATGTTATTTTTTTACAAAGCTTGATACTATTATTGGAAAATACGGTGTGGTTTGCATAACTCGGCCGTCATATGATGCTACGAAGATCATTCATGAATCAGAAATCCTAAACAAGTACAAGGTAATGAAATTTACTTTATCTTTATTGTCATTAAAATCTCCATTAAATGTAAGATGAGTTCCTAGAGGATATTTTTTTGTTTAAGACAAACTAATTTTCCGTCTACAGAAGACCTCATGTTCAAACATGTATCACGTCGTTTCGAAATCCTATCGATCTTTAGTTTCTTAGTCTCAAGTTGATTTACATAGCTCATTAATATAATTTTATCAAGTGTGAAGCAAGATTTACTATTTGCCATTCTTTCTCAGACTAGTTACTTCTCAGAAAGACTTACACAATCGCAAAGCCTTTGTCGTCCTTCTGGGTCTTCACACTGAAACCTGCGCTGAAGATGGTGTTTTGAAGGACGACGGAGGCTTCGCAGTTATATCAACCAGCTCAGATGACACACTTAAATCAAAATCATTCACCTGAGCTACAAATTTTCCCCATTATTTCAAAGACTAACATACTCAAAAACGTCGTAGTGTTTACTTTGTACTCCGTTAGAGAAACCAAATGTCGAATAGAACACTTACCAATTATTTAGCCGTAGTAGATAACCATTTGTTTATCAGCCAGACATTATACTTCACTTAGTGCTCAGAACCAAATAGTCACCTCACTTGGAGAAAATTTACCAGTTTTGCTGCAGTAGTAGTAAACATGGAGAAACAAGTAGATGCGCATGAGAATGTCCTCGTCATTTGATTCACTGGAATACGGTTTACCAAGCAGTCTTCTTATTAATGCTGAAATAATCATACCATAGTGTTTGTCATAAAATTCATCACTTCTTGGCGTATTTCATTAAACACAGGATAATATTGAGTTTGCGACGGATGGCTGTCAAAATTCACTTAGCTCTACTTTAGTACGTGCAGCGCTATGTCATGGGAAAAGTGTTCGTTATCTTGTGCCAGAATGTACTTTAGAATACATCTATACTCATAACTTATACGGTGCTAAAAGAAGAAATGTTGGTTTACGCAATCGATGTGAATAAACTTCAACTTGTCATTTCAACTGTAATAACAATATTAATTTTGCTTCTAAAATGCTGGTAGTTACTTGGGAATTGAATCCATAATATCTTTTAATACTACCTGAACATATTTTTTGAGAATTTTTAATTTTATTTGGAAATGCTACTTTCGTATAATTCTGTCTAATTGTTTCAGCTTATAATTATGACCATGTCAGAAACGTTTTTGATAATAAAAGCCATGATTTCGCAATCGACTTTTCCGTTTGTTAAAAAGGGAGTTATTATTAGAAGCTACTTCATAAAAATTCTCGGTGTAACTTCCTGCAGAATATTTACTCCCTGCACAGAATCTTCAAGTAAATAATATTCATTGACAGTACATCACATAATGCAGTGTCATTTTACCTGGAACAAGACTCAATTCTCTATAATATCGAGGGACTTAATTAGAAGATTAAAATAATAGCAGACAAAAATTGAGGTAGCCCGGTGGTTTAAGCAGACCTCTGCTATACTACTACTATATGACATCGAAAACTGATACCACCGTATATGACCGACAACTTCCTAGCATAAACCACGTTAGGTTGCTGCACTGCGTCGTGATGAGCTAACGAAATCAACTGCAATGGTAGACTCCTTGCGAACATTTTTAATGGTAGTCATAATGTTTACTTATTTTTACGACAAAGCATCTGTGATACACTTGTTTCTAGTCCGTTAATCATGCCAATCACGAAATAATTAGGAATCCCCAAAAATACTTTTCGATCATGTTAGGTATGAAGTCCTGCCAATCCCTAAACGCACTCCCTTAAAAACTTTCATTGCGGTCTGTTTGTCATCGGAGGTATCTGTGTAGTAAGTAATTGTAATTTTATTCCGAAGTATATCCGGGTAGGAAGCACCTCAATCCCCAAGCGAAAAAATTCGAGGTGATGTGTATAACTCATGGAAAATTCCTACTACAACATATAGAAAATCAAAACAAGTGATCCAGCGAAGAGACTCTTTTTAACGAAATTATCATCAGGCTTTACAATCGTATATATATATATATATATATGGTTTTTAAGAAATTATGTCTGATGAGGGAATTGAATCGTAGGTGTGAATGCATAAAATAATAATAGTAGTGTGAAATGCAATTAAAATATTTATGATTATAATCACAGTTAAAATTAAAGTGGTAAAACAACGTTAAATTCTATGTTATCAGATTTCACACGATATAACGTAACGTTTTTATTTTATTCGATTTGCCTACTAATCCTATGATTGCACACCCCTTCCAAGTTCTATACATCCTATGAATTATTTTATATATGACATTAACTGTTTTGCCACTTGACACTTAACTGTGATTATAATCACAAATATTTTAATTGCATTTCATACTACTATTATTATTTTATGCATTCACACCTATGATTCAATTCCCTCACCGGATAACTTCTTAAAAACCATATATAGTTTGTACAGCTTGATAATAAATTCATTGAAAAGAGTCTCTTCGTTGAATCACTTGTTTTGATTTTCTATATGTATAACTCTTAACGATACCAGTGCATGATTTCGTGGAGAACCCTTCGTTTCATGGCAGCAAATTTTGCCTTAATAGTTGCCTATCATGCGGCAAACCTCTAAGTTTCTTTCTCGTTTTCAACTCTAATAGTTAAGTCGTAAAGAAACAACTGGTGTTCTAATACAATACAGGGATTTCCTGGACTTTTACTCTTTATTGTACGTAACGTTTCCATACTCAATGCCGAAGACAGTGGTAGTCGTAGAGCGGGTTTCGACGCCATATTTTTGTATACCTTTCTTTTATCATCTTACAACAGTCCCATTCCATTTCAAATATATAAGAATAAATAACAGTACAATCAAAACTTATCACTTAAGTTAGATGCAAGAAGACCCTGTGTTTATTAAGTACACCTGACTAGAAACTACACACATTTTGACTGGATCGAGAAAAACGCTGTTCGTTTTAAACAACAGGAGACTGTTAGGGTAAGAAAATGTAATTCATTTGAAAGATGCATATACAGTTATCGTCGAGCACGTTCAACTGAACGACTTCGACTACGATCACGTGTTCTGTGCTTGGCTGGCGTTTTAACTTGACTCGGACCTTTAGTGAAAGCCCAGTCTACGTGAATCTTCTGACCATTTAACTCAGAACCATTCAAATGTTCCATAGCCGTATGTGCTTCTTTGAAATTCTCATACTCCACCAAAGCATATCCCTGTAATCAGTAGATTGATTATATTACTGAATGTACCTTCAAATAACCAGTTCGCCGATCAAGATTCAAGTGTATATTTTTTATATCACCATATTCACAGAATTTATCCCGGATATCTTCTTCTGTGGCTTCTTCTTGTACATTTCTAACAAATAAGATCCAACCTTCAACGGCTGACAACAGTTACACATGTATATTTCTGCAACTTACATCTTTGCGGTCCTGATTTTGAAGCACCATCATCTACTCCGATAGATTCATAGCTCTCTTTAGTTGTTCCCACTGAGTCTACAAGGCTTAGAAACCAAATAAGGCTATGTACCAGATCCAAATCCTCTCCCTTTTCTTTTCTTAGCACTCTCTTTTAATTTCATCAAACCATCTAAAAATAAATATAAATATACAAAAATGTTTATTTGTCTGGTGACTAAATGCATGTATCTGCCTGAGTACTTCTAGAAATGCACAAACTAGGATACATTTCTCCCCCCCCCCCAAGATCTATTTTACGATACCAGTAAAAATTACGCCTTATCATATGTTCACTTAAATTCTTGTACCCCTGAAGTGCAGTTCTGCATGTACTTGATACGGTGTAGTTAAAGGTAATACACATAGGACAATCATTTATCTGTTAAACTTTGAGTGAACAAGTTAGAACTCTGCACAAGAGTGCAACAGTTTGATTGCTGGCACTTCAGGAAAACAGACAAAAGTTCTGTTATGTAACTGCAATGAACAACAAAACAATTGAACGACGATTAGCAAGAGGTTTTAGAATCCATATTATGACAAGGAATAAGTACTCCATCGTAAATATTTGCACCAACATCAAAACACTCAAACCACTGATTCCAACCATTCAGGGCAATCCAGTCGGCAGTCTACAGCCCCTGTATGCCTCAGAAAGTTTGCGTGGAATTGCTGGTGTAGGGACAGGATTCAGCGCTAAAATGAAAAAACCGCTACTTGACTAGATTCCACAGGAGAGTAATATGTGCTATCTAGCTGAACAGATTAGTTAGAAGGAAAGATTGGTACGCTTGCGCCTCCATCGACTGCTGTTCGGATGAAGAGAAAGATGAGTTTTATCGAAAGATGCCTTATTAGCTATTACAATCAAACTATTCAGATGCAGTCATTTTAGCAAGTCTTCTGAATGCCTAAGTAGGGAAGGTGTACCAATCTTAAAAACATATGGATGACACCTACTGAGTCCCATGTCGGCGAACCAACAAAAATGATTGCGCCCTACAATTCTCTCCCGATTACAATCTGCTCTTGGTCAACACTAATTCCAGACATAAAGAGACACTGTTTCACGTGGCGACCTACAAGATTTAAACGACGAACACAAATAGACTACGAGGCTATACATCATCGACGAAGGTCGGCAGGCCCAACGGATAACTGCTACCTTGCCACGGTGGTCGGGCTCGCATATTGCTGCGACCCAGAAAACTACACTTAGCTGTCCCTGCATTTCCTACCATAACATGTCTCGGTAGCGGCTAGACTACAAGCAGCTACTGAGGAGACTTTCGAAAGCGTTAGGCACAAAATTTAGTATTTATAATAGGAGACTGGACCCTGACGAATGTAAGGTGATACCACCATTGTTTTGCAATGACTGCTAATTTAAGGACGGAGTGAAACGGTTCAGTGCGTTGACAAAGTTACTTGAGAAGTTACATCAACCCCAATCGACTGCTAATGAAACTTCAGCAGGGATACAAGAGGCCCCTATAGCACTCACTAACCAGCCTACGTCATTCGTGGCATAGAATTGATGCTGACTATTAATCAAGGGACATGTGCACCGCCCAGCAGTTCGCATTGTTCTCTCTGAGACGTGGTTGTTGAATATAAAAGAGATAAGTTGTATATGACCATGGGCTTAGAATCCTGTTTCTGGTAACGAGGTACATGTTGACTATAACGTAAACCGTGCTACGTGGGTAGAATCAATCGAGTGAAGTGGCTAGGTCATGTGTTATAAAAGTCAACGCTTTTCTTGTCGAGCCATGTTAAACGACACATGATAGGGTTGGAAAAGGGTAGGAATAGTCGAAGTAAAACATCATTATTCAATGAAATCTGACTAATGATATCAGCCACGTAGGGATATGTAAAGTGCCTCATTGGGGTCAAAAAGAGGATAGGAGACAATATGTGGAAAGCGTTATTGGCGTGACTTAAAGCAATCCACAGTCGAGCAAATATATTTACTCTTTCTGAACTCAGATACATTAAACTCTCACTATTCTTTCTCTCGCATATTTCCAATTATTACATCTTTCCTTTATATTCTGTATTTATAATTCTGCGTGCTTCATAAGGCGAAACATTTCGAACTTTGACACTTGTGTGCAGTCCCAAGTTGAAAAATAACTCAGTCAGGCACGGACCAACAGCCCTAGGCCTCACAGATAGTGGTTAGATTCCACCACTAATCTATTTAATTCATACCTAAGTTTGAACGTTCCTTATCACCCGTGGCTAACACACGGCCTAACCATCCCATTCATTTAAACTTTACAATCTTGATCAAATTCTGTGTTTTGAGTTATAGATCTGTCAGCCAACTGACTTCCCTCCCTAAACTTAGGATTTGCCTAACCACATGATCCATCTCGTCTAAAGCATTACTGGCCCGTGCAAATGTATAAAAATACAGACGTATGGCTGAATTATTTTTCCTTGTAGAAGGAGCACAGACTTTATAAATCCCTAAAAATATAGTTTCTTCTTTACCAGTTATCCAGAGATTTTAGTCACCACTGCAGTCGGTGTCATCGCACCTTTTGTGGCAGGTAGCTATGTACAACAGCCTTACATTCTTCAAATCTGAATGCCCTTTGCTTAGTGGTGGAAATGAAACTTCCAAACGAATGAGTACTTGGAGCAAATTAACTCCAGCATTCCAAAAAATTAGGCGACATTTAAAGATTAAAACGCAAGGAAAGCCAGTAGTATGTGTGCTAAAGTCTTACATACTGTCAATACTTAACAATCCTAAAAGTGAAACGGCCCAAAAGATATCTTTTGGGCCGTTTCACTTTTAGGATTGTTCCACTTTTAGTTACTAGTGAAATAAACCCACTTATTCGCCACGCCTACTGATAAAGACACCGTTACAATCAGTACATAAAATGAATACTTACGGTCTCCATCTTGATCCTCTTCAAAGTCATTCTCTCCGTGAAGATCGAGAACATCTGCCATTTTTGAAAAAAGCGCAGTAGCGTCGAAGATCTATACATTCCTCAATTTTCAAAATTAAATGTGTTTCATTAATCATTCGCAAAATGACAGATTCCGATGAAAGATATTGCTTCTCAGAGAACTTCCGGTTAATATCTACGAAGTTATGCCCTTAAAACAAACCATATGAACTGAAGGCTAGTTATGAATATGATTACAGATGGATATAAATGCGCCAGCGATAAAAAAACGTAATCCTAGTTGTAACAGACGTCGAAAATGTGATCGTCCAAAAATCGGTTGCAAAAAATAAGATTACAGCGTGTGCAGTGTAGCTGTATTAATTTAATGTGGATAAACTGTACTGCTCAGCTATTTATTCAACTGTGTCGCAAAATCCTATGTTGAACTTATAAGATTGGTCGTTCATTGTGTTCGCTTCTGAAAGAGTAAGTGTATCTGACGGGAAAAAAGCCATAGAAATTGCTTGCTAATGGGGCTTCTGAATCTAGCATAGTCACTTGTGAACATCCCTGAATGAAATACTTAAACTTCTCTATTCATATAATCAGGAGGGTACTTCTGAAATTTTTCTCACAAACATTCTCTGCACGACTGCACTTACAGGGAATGCCGACTTCCAATTTTCAATAACCCCGTGAGCTATTCTATTGGGGATGATACCTGCGTGAAGCTCACTTAACAGTTTCTGGATATGGAGTTGAAATTGAGTCATATGCCTGACTGATCAATGTATCATCAAATGAGAAAAGGAAAGCCGCATCGTATTTCCTTAAGCTAAGGAGAATTTTCTGCGGTGAAGCGTGAAATTCAGTGTCTTTTATTCCACTGAATGGAATTGCTCATTACATATATTCACCTATTTGACCTGACACTGTTTAGCCCTCTTCTGTAGTCTTTTATCTCTTGTGTTCCCTCTTGAAGGGATCTAGAATTAGTGGCTGCTAAGGATTCCATGGTGTTTTTGAACAGTTGTCCATCTATATTATCATGATGGCAGTCGACTCGCATATCACCAGATTTATCAAGTGCAGTCGATATTATCCCCACTGGGTGAAACTGCATCCACGTTCGGGGGTACACCACACAAATCACTTTGGTGGTACTACCCTACAATGACACCAACCCTGCCAGTTGTTTGAGTAATCTGTGGCGATCACTGCTATTTGATGCCTAATCTCTCCTGCCCTGCAGAAAATCTTTAAAAATATGAAGTCCCAATGATAGGTATTAATATGTTGGAATTATTAAGTTTGTTTTATCGACGGAGAAGTCGCAGATCACACTTTCAATGATGTAACTAAACGAATAAGCTTTTTCCGCATTCAGGTACTCTCCCTGTGTTTTATGATAATTCATTTGCATAGAAGAATAGCAGTTTTGAGGGTTGCTTGGGCAATTTCATAATGGCGTTTAAGGGGAAATCCTACCACTATCGACCCGATGAGAATGATTTTATGCAGGTCAACTGGAGTAACAGCTGAAAATGCACGAAAGCCGGTAATTTATTTTGCCTAGTTCTGTAGTATTTGCAAAACCTGAAATGAGCACTTCTAAATAAAAACGCAAGTATTTTCAAAGTCCGCATTTTTATGCCACAAGTGTTATCGAAGACATCCTTCACTGTCTTTTAAGCCTTTGTCGTGAAAACTCGTAAGCAACTACGACATAAGAGTGGGTCATCTTTAAGCTATCTAGAATGGAAAAGTGACTAACCTGGGAGATGACATAGCATATCCCCTATGTCAATGTAGTTAAAGACTGAACCATCAACTCATGGTTGTTTGCTCAAACCCAACTTCCCCATAATTTTCGCGGGTCATCAATCCGACAATCATCGTCTCATCGCTGTTCAAAAGGAAGATTAAAAACTTTCAGAAGTAATATCGTGATTTATTGTTATAACATTTGTTCTTAGACCTTCTTATGCAATAACATTATTGTTGGTTATATGTTGGCGTAGGAATAAAAATTCTTGAGTCGCCAATCGGTGTTTTGGTTTTCGCGTTGGTTAATACGAACCGTTTCTAAAAGTCTTCGAGAGACAGCGTGAGGTCCAGCGTAGCAAGAGCTGGACATTGACAGTTTATGAGGCTTGACTGACACCCTATTTGCAGTGGCGCCTCTGGCTTAACGTTTGCGCCATTTGCACTGTTTCTTTGATTCGAGTTGTAGCTAGCCTTCCAGGCAAACGCAGTAGACGCGATTTCGGTATTTATTTTGCTCTTGTTGAGTGAATTTATATGAAAATTGTTGTTCGATATTGTTCTCGAGCACTTACTGGTAGCTTGCGTGACGGGACGCTTAAATACATGGTTCATGCAATGATTATTTGGCATACCAAGTAAGCTTCACGTACATTTCGACAACTGTCATTCGATAAATTTCTTTGCAGCTTGGCGGAATCCTGTACTCGATCGCAAATTTCCCCATCAGCTAGTGTGCAATGCCTATTACTGTATCAGGAACCGAAGAATATGGCTGATATCTAATTAGTACATCCTCCCGCACTATTGTGTGGTGTTTCGATAGCTGAAAGTTAGTGGAATGTATAGGTACAAGCGAAAATTGGTGTTCACAAGTGGGCAGAGACTGCAGTATGTTCCACGATCACTTACAACATTCACTGTTTTCTGCCAAAAATTTAAAATGAGTTAAATGCACACTGCAACATTTTAGTAATTTGATGGATTTCAATACTGCACTCGTTATCAGGTACGTAAAGATATCTGAGGTGTACGTCATTTTGTTCTATTATTGAGTTGGTTTCATAAACTTCCGATATCTGTTACTGTCCTGACGCCATATTATTTGCGTTTGTTCGAAGTTAATCCACAAAATTAATTTGAAATCGCGTAGAAGTAGTGTCCGACATCTCTTAAAGCTATGGACGTAAGGTTTAGAAGCGGTTGCTGTATCCATTTAGGGAGAACTCATCGATTTCTGCAAGTAAGGGCTATGCATCATATACCTAAATTCCCCTAGAAGCGAACAGAATCTTCAGAATCTATTAATGGAGCCCCGGCTCTTCTATTGCGAAATACCCTATAGAGACAGGACATAAAATTGACGTTGGTACATTTTTAAACCTATCTGTAAAACGTGTTTGAATTGCATCTTAAAGTTTGTGGAAGCCCAAGTTTGATTAGGAAGTTTAAACCACCTTTGTGAGTTCCAAAACTATTCGTCATCACACGAAACCTTCTTTGTTAAACTTCGTTTTGATACCAGTCAGGGTGGATGTGCTAATACCTGTTACTTGGTTTAGTGATCTTCATTGTTATTTTGACCTTCAATATGTGGTTTTAATTCAGCCTAAATTTATTTTCTAATCTCTTAACTGTATTAATTTCATATATTTTCCTATGACAAGTCCATGCGTGACCAGAATGTCCAAAATGTGTTGCACAAATACAATACAGACAAATTACGTCTTCTTATTACTTCGTCTAAATATCTACTTGTGTCAAAAATAGTGATTGATGTAATCTCATATTGATATAAACTTTCATTAATTCCTACTGTGCTATCTCATTCATATTATATTGGTAGGTATATTCATGCATACATCCTGTGCATCCTTGTTTTCTTTTTTGGCTAATCTGTAGTTCCAGTGACCTCGTGGGATTCTTTGCTGAAGAAAGTGGTTTCCAGTATCGTTGATTTTGTATTTTGTGTTGAACCACTAATAAATGTGTTCTCTATACCTCAAATAGACATTCTGTTTGTTAATAGTCACTACTAACTTTATAGAATGTTGTTAGCTACAGAGTTAGGGGGTTAGGGTCATGTGTTGTATTGAGTAGTATGTTTAGAAAAACCGCCGCCCCTGAGGTATATTCCCATCAATATGGAGTACATTCTCATTCTCGTGATAAATCTGTTAGTAGTAATTATTATCAGTACTTATATTTCGTAAGGACGGTATATAGAGAAACGTACTAATTCAGTAGTTGTCAATCACGTCTCATAAACCGTTAATGCCAAGCTCACGCTACGCTCGGGCCCACGCTGTTCCTTGCAGATTTCAGAAACGCTTAGTTATAACGGACGAAAAAACCACATGACCGATCTGCCGTTTGATATTTCTTTAATGTTACACCAACATATAAAAAGAATAAGTGAACTAAGGTCTGAAAACAAATATTACAATAATAAATCTCTGTATTACTTCTGACGATGTTTCAATCTTCTTTCTGAACAGCGACCGATGAGACGATGACTGTCGTATTGATGCCTCCGCGAAAATTGGGGAAGTTGGGTTTGAGCAAACAACCAACAATTGATCGTTCAATCTTCAACTCCATTGACAGTAGTCAAAGCTTAGAACTATCCGCTAAAAGTAAAACAGGTGCTCATTAAGGGAAAACTGATCGATCGAAAGTTGAAACATCACGTAGGTGATAAAGTTTATAGCAACGTTTACATGAGAATAGTTAAGGTCATTTATTTAGAAATGATAGCAATTTGTTGATGGTTTAAAGGTTGTTATGTTTGATGGGGAATAGGTGGGACATTGTGACTGAAAAACAGTATAACTAGATAAGCAACATCAACTGGTCAGTATACACATATTTTGAAATAAAACACGATCGGGCAAAGTATTTCGAAGACAGGAGTAGAGCATGAACTGTATGATGACAACCTTATCTCACTAAAGGACTTTATTTTATTTCGTCAAGACCGTCAATGTTGTAATAAGAAAAATGGTGGTGGCGTTGCAACTTTTATTCACTCCAAATGGTCTGTCTCAAATAACGTCTGCTTCACCTTCTCAAATGACTTCATTGACTGTATTACTGTCAAATGTCGCCCCAAACACCTCCCCAAGTATAAACAATTCTATATTACAAACATGTACATTTCTCCTAGTTGCTCTCCATCTGATCTATCTAATTTTGCTGATGAATTCACCATGTTTGCTGCTGCCAACTTCGACAACTCTCTATCCGTTATTACTGGAGACTTCAACACATCGGATTGCTCCTTTCTTGAAGCTCTTGGTCACACAAACATAGTCAAATTTCCCACTCGACTTGACAAAACACTCGACCTCGTTTTTACTAATGACGAAGGAGTATATGAAACACGAAGACGTTCACCGATACATAACTCCGATCACTGCAT